AGTCTCACAATTTTCAGAAGTCAAATGAATATTTTACAAATATTTTAAGTGAGTCAAAATATCAGTTTTTGAGTGTATCAGATTGCGGTCGACTGCCACGGTCGACCGTGCCTGAGCTCACTCGTCAGTGGGCAGCAGAAACTTTCATGGTCGACCGTTGTGGTCGACCGTGAGCAAAAAAATTTCACGGCCGACTGCCATGGTCAACCGCGAAAGTCTCTGTGATAGACCCTAGAGGGGGGGGTGATTAGGGTCTTATGATAATCTAATCCGATTTAAATGCCAATTAAAATATATTAACAAGTTATCCTAGCAAGTATGAAATATAACAACTATATATAAGCTAGGATAAGCAAAATGAACAACAAAGAGATATATCCTATATGATAGAAATATATGCAAGGATATTTAAACAATAAGATATATCCTAACAAAGAGATATAGACAATGTATGAGCAAGGATAGGATATGAAACTAAGGGTGATATAAACATAAACAAGATAGTGGGCAATATAATCAACAAGCAATATACAAAGGCGATATAAGATATGAACATAAAAGTAAGTGCGCCAATGCAATCACAAACAAACAATATGATTACGGAGTTCGGTCCCCACGACCTACGTCTCCGCTCCTCACCTCGAGGAGATCTCCACTATCACAACCGGGTTTTCTACGTTCACCCGAACAACGTTTACACCTCACAATACAATCACTATGCAATCACACCTCACACACTAAGTGTTGGTCCTAGCCCGTGTCCTCCTCCTCAAGTGCTCGGTTACAACATCTCCCTAGGCACGTCAACCGACGCCACTCCTCTTGGATTCGACCCCGTCTCTCACCACACACTTCTCTCGGTGTATAAGTGTATTACAAGTGAATCCTCATAATTAAGCACAATATAGATCAATTTGATTGTTCTCTAAACAAGGTGAGAACTCAATTAAGCTCACTGTCAATGTCACAAACCCACAACCCTAAATTATACTATGAATGTAAATACAATAAGCTCAATAGGTTGTGTGTGAACAAAGAGATAAAACAATATAAACTCAATATGAAATCTAGCTTATGAAATTATGAACAAACTTATAAAATGCTAGAATTGAGTTTAAGAAAACTTCTCTATAGATGACAAGAGAGAGGGAGAAGAATGAATGCTCAAGCACCAAGGATGATCTCCACTTGCTCTTGTAAAATTTGCTCCACAAATCAAACTCTTGTAAATGCTTAAAAGCTTTTTAAAGAAACACTAAACCCTTAAACAAAACTCTCTTAAACTTGTTTTAAAACTCTCTTTTCTTGGTTGGAGAGCTGAAGGCAATAGGGTATTTATACCCTCTCAAAACTCAGCCAAAACTCCCAAAACAAAAGACAAAACAACCTCAAGGCAACGGTCAAAAAACTAGCCGTTGGAAGCTGAAAACAACATCGTCGGTCGACCGGAAAATTCATCGGTCGACCGGAAACTGGGTCCGGTCGACCGACAGACTCTCTGTCGCATGGTGAGAAATGAACCAATGATCGGTCGACCGGTACGGTCGACCGGAAACTGATATTCCAGGTTCTGAAAACTGTTTATCTGATTTTAAAACGCTGTTTAAAAATATCAAATAAATTCCAAAAAATATAAAACTTTGGGGAATGATTGTAGACATGATAATAATCATGCTACAACGATTGGTTTTGAAAAAGGACTTCCTAAATAAAAAATATCATCATTTTGCAAGATAGTCCAAAACACCAAAATGTAAACATGTGAATTTTAACATTTTGGCTAAACCAACTTTTAAAACTTTACAAAATGATTTTATAACATGTGAATTTTAACATTTTGGCTAAACCAACTTTTAAAACTTTACAAAATGATTTTATAGACTTGAAGAAAGATGTAAACTATTGTTATGAAGTCTATAAACAATAAATATAGTATTTTATCAAAATACACATATAATGCACTAAAACATGATTTCATTTAACTAACTAAAATTGATATTGATGAAATCATATATATGCATATGAGTATGAAACAAAAATATGTTTTCTAATTATATTCAACTGTTTCATAGTAAAGCTTGAAAACTATCAAACCAAAATATATATGTATATATATAACTATATATATACAAAAACCAAAACGTGTATGTGTGTATATGATTGAGCTTAAAGTACTAACACACATAATATAAATTCCTAAACTAAATTACCCAAGCAATGATCTTGATCTTCAACAAGCTTGACTTGGTAATCTCGCGGATGATGCTTGAACTTGGATCTTGAACTTTGAATAGCAAGGCTTCACCGACATTCCGCCAACCTCCTTTGGATATGATCGTTGAAGCTCTATTCCATCCATCCTCCAACTACGTTGTTTGTCTACAATAAATAAGAAAACACAAATACTAGACAAACAACATTAGAAGTAAATTGTTTGTTACACATCATCAAAACAAGAAGGCCACCTCGCGGTCGACCGTGAAAAAGTCACGGTCGACCGTCGTATATCTTAAACAGTCATATGGTACAGATCTCAGTACCGATTTCACACGATCTCAGCGCTATTCTGTTTCCAGATTTTGGGGGATTGGTTATGGGTTTCAACAGTTGTGATTTTCTATAAAAACCTATCTTCTTCTTCTTCCTCTTAGTCCCAGCTCTTTCAGATATTTTTAGAGAACGTTTTTTATAAAGCAAAATTTTCAAACCTGTTTCCTTCTGAGTTTTTGTGTTTCACATCCCAGCTTCAGTGTTATCTTCTCTTTGCCATAGGGACATTGTAAAGAGAGGGTTCTTATCCATTTCTACTATTTTGAGAGCTTGATCTTGTGTAGATCAATTGTGTGGGAGTGTGATCTAGTGAGATCAATTGTGTAGTGTGAGATCGTGAGGGGATCGCTGTGTAGACGAAGTTCCGGCTTCCAAACCGGGTTGTGTAGTGGATTTCTCCTCGAGAGTGGGGAGCGGGGACGTAGGTCAGCGAACCGAACCTCGTTAACACATCATGCGTTATAGGATAACGATTCCTAACCCTATCTCCTCTATTTTGATTGCATTTAGATATTGTATTTTGCTTGTCTTAATTTTATTGCATAATTATAGCCTCGTGACCCTAATCACCCCTCCTCTAGGGTCCAACACCCGCACACGGCTCGAGACAGAGAGAAGACGATGAACGTCGCTATCCGAGTCACAGGAGCTCATTTGATGACGACAAACACATGAAGTGAGTCGGCGGACCATACGAAGCAACGAAACTTCGGAATAACAGGAATAAGAGCTGATCGGGAGCCCCGCGTCATTTATGAAAGGCGGAGTACCCCTTGTGTCCCATTTACTTCACATGTAATTAAATCATGGGATCTTGTAGATCTCCTCGTCGGCTTTCCAACGCATATTTAACCACGTAATTCCGAGTCCGGATGACGAATTTACGGTGGAAACAAACTCGACGAACCAAAATCGGAAAAAGCCAAACTGAGATACCCCGTGGTGTCTTGGCTTGGCCAAGACACTTATAAGTGTCTTGGCTAAGCCAAGACACCACGGGGTGTCTCGGTTTGGCTTTTTCTGGTTTTGACGCGCAAGCCGAGACACTTCAAAGTGTCTCGGCTTGGCCAAGACACTCAGAAGTATCTGCAATACAAAAAACGCTAATTTTAATTATTTTCGACGGTTTTTTGATGGTTAACCGCCTGGATTTGCTCCAACTGATCTGATAATGTGGTTAAGTGGTTTTCAACTAAAGATAAGAGGGAATCGGCCGTTCTTATCCGAACACAGGGCTCCTGAAGCATATAAATACAGCCCTAGGGCCTTTATTTTTTCAGATCTGGAATTCTCGAGCGTCGGAGAAGCCCTGCCGAATTGAGGACTGAAGAGCCACGAATTTCAGAGAGGAGGATGAGACTTCATCGGATTCTTCGGCATAAAGAAGAGGAGTTCATCATATCTGCAGCCCAGTTCGTCCCTTAAGATTACCCTGTTGCAGTGATCTTAAGAAGAGCAATTATCTCGCTGTTGCCGAGATAAGCGCTTTGGCTTCTTGATTCCTTCGCGAATCGACGAAGCTCCGAATCTGATCTGATCGTTTGGTGGTCCAGGATATCAACGTCCCCGTCACAGGCCAAGATCCTACACAAGCAGAAGACCGATAAACGATCTCTGCGCTGTTTGACGAGAATTGTATATTTATCGTGTAAAAGTCTTATAAAAAGACTATCTTTTTGTATTTTTATTATAACGACTGAAGTTGTAATGAGTACCTCAATGAAGAAACCAATTTTCTACCCAAACAATATCAACCAAATAATCACTACGAATAAATCGCATAAACTAAAAAGCATAACAAAGAATAAATGATGTAGGTACCTAGTTTAGCATCGACGTGTAAAGAACCGAAAGGCCCATTAAAAGGGCCCCAATAAAGAAATCTAAGATGTGATTAGCACATAACTATATCTACCCCTCACCATTGTCTCCTAGATTTCCGCTTTTTATGGGAAAAGCAAAAGGGGTTTCCAAGTAATAGTCCCTTATATCTTCTATATGATGAAATTAGCCCCTTTCAGATCTTGTAAATTACTGTTATCCCTCAAATGTCAAGCTATTATGAATTAGTCCCCCAAAACAGTCAAGTTACTATTAGGTCCCTAGATTCTTGGTAATTTTAAAAGTAGTTCCTCCAGTCAAGTGTAGAAATAGCAACGAAGAGACAAATTTGGAACATCTTATGAGAATTTTAGAACCTAATAGTGATTTCAATGATTTGGAGAACTAATTTTCCTCTTATTTGCTACTTCCTTACTTTATGTGAGGGAATAATTTCAAAAAAAAAAGCCAAAGATTGGAGGAACCTGATAGCAATTTGAATAATTTGAGGGACTAAGTTAAAGTAGTGTAAGATTTGAGGGACCTGATAGCAATTTGAATGATTTGAGAAGCTCATTTAAAATATGAAAGGCCAACATCGTCAAAACCCAAAAGCGGGACACAACCGCATTGTTTTGTACATTTCTAGTATCCGCGTTGACCCGCGAGCTCCCCCCAACCCCCGGCCTCCAGACCTTGGACTCCAAAGATTTGGCTGGGTTCTCCTCATTTTTATCCCCAGTCTTGGTTTTGAAAGGAAAGCCCTTGTTATTGCTTTCATCAGCTTAAAGAATCTGATCCCTTTTGCAGCCCTCCTGCTGATCGCTCCTCCTCATTCTGCCCTTTTAACCAACGGGGGCAGCTTGAGGAGAAGCATACCTGGGTCAATTTTTGGAATCATTCTCTGACTATTTGTTCAATCGGGTCGATTTGGGAACCTGGGCTGTGATGAATTCTAAATCATCGTCGAGGAGAGGGAGAAAGGAGGAGGAGAAGGAGAAGCAAGGGGAGGAGGAGCGGGCTGTGAAGGAGTTCAGGGAGATTCTGATCGAGAGAAACTTGTTGCCGGCGAGGCACGATGATTACTTTACTATGAGGAGGTATTTGGTCTTATTTTTATTTTTCTGGAGATTGACTTGTTTGAATTCGTGAAGTTGATGATAATTGGTAATTGGTACTAGTTATGATTTGGCAAGTTGGAGGCTTTAGTTTTCTAAATTGGCTGTAATTGAGTTTTTATGATCTGGGTGTTTGCTAAGAAGTAATCTGTGGATGCACCTGGATTCGTTTGCGAAAAAGTTTAACGTATTAATTCAAAAATAGCAATTTAACTTGTCTTTCAATGGTACCAAATAGAACTGAACTGTTGTACGGTAGTCAAGTGATATCCAGTTGAGATAAACGGTTGTTTTTAGGAGAGTGTATAATCATGAAAGAGGGATTTCTAATGGGTACTATGACATTGCCAGGCCATGAAGAATTTGGTACCGATTTTGTACAGACCCAATTTAACGTTCCACTGTGATAAACGATATATAAATTTATGCAATGTTGATTGTAAAGGTTGGATGTCGCAAGTTGTGAGTTGAAAGAAGTTATAGAATCACATAATCTGTGCAGATAAATAAGGTTAGTGTATCTATGCAAATTATTATTAATATTATTATTTTCCAATTGGTAGAGGCAGGAAGGTGAACTTGCCACATAGTGTTCGTGTGTTAGAGTCTTTTAAAGTATTGGGTTAGAACCAACTCCTTGGTAGACAGTTTGAGTATTGTGATCATTGTCCTCTGAACCCTTACAGAACTACAAAGACACCGATTGCAACCTCCATCTTTATTAGTGTTATTCTTAGAAATGAAGGAGAGCTTCTCATTGATTGGATTGGGTATGAAACCCAGTATTTATATATAAATTGTACAGTAGAATATGAGCTATATTAATGATGCTACTGGCGCTAGATATAGATGGTAGAACTGTAGCTCTAGGTTGGCTAAGCTGTAATTGTAGGTAGGTGGCTGAACTATAGTCATAGATAACAACCCCCACGCCCAAACTCACGGTGGATCAAAAAACGAAAGTTTGGAGAAGAAGTAGCAAAATTTAGAAATAGTTTGAGCCTTGTTAAACAAATCTGTGACTTGATCCTTGGAAGCAACATATGAAAGAATAATGTTACTAGCAACATGCTCTTGGCGAACCACATGACAATCCACCTCAATATGTTTGGTGCGTTCATAGAATATGGGATTTGTGGAAATGGAGATGACACTCTGATTGATTAATGCAGTATAGAGTGATTGGAGAAGGAACTTAGACATGAATATCTCGCAAAAGAGTCCGAAGTCATTTTGGCTAAACTGTAGTATCTTCCATTGCCTGATACTCAGACTCTATACTAGAATGAGAGACAACAACTTGATGCTTACTACGCTAGGAAATAAAAGATGATCCTAGAAAAATACAAAATCTAGTGGTGGAGCATCGATTGGCTAAATCATAGGCTCTTCCAATATCAGAGTATAGACAAAGAGACAAAGAAGAGTCTGATAGGAAAAAATAATAACTGAGATATAGTGCCACGAAGATAACAGAGAACCAGAAGAAGAGCTACATAGTGAGCAAAAGTAGGAGCACTGACAAACTGCTTAAGGTGTGCATTGCATAAACAATATCTAGACGTGTCACAGAAAGATAAATCAATGCTCATATAAGTTCCTGATGTCGCAGAAAGATAAACCAATGCTCCTATAAGTTCCTAATGTCGCAACAAGATAAACCAATGCTCCTATAAGTTCCTGATATTGAGTGGGCTATGATAAAGGATCATCATCATTATGTCGAAGCTTCAAGTTCATCTCCATTGGAATAGAGAGGGGTGGTGGAAATGTAAGGATCATTGAGAACGCTCAAGAATGTATGCAATGTACTTCTGCTAAGAAAGGAGATAATCATGAGAGGATGCAATGACCTCAATACCTAAAAAGTAACAAAGATATCTAAGATCCTTTATCTCAAAAACTGACTCTGAAAGTGTTACTTCAAGGAAGAAATGGCAGAAGAATCACTTCCAGTAATTATCATATCATTACCATAAAATAAGAGAATGGCCGTGCCGGAGGCTGTTGACTGATGACCGATAAAACAGAGCGTACTCGGCTAGGCTCTCAATAAATCCAATGGGAAAAAAAGATTGTCGAAAATGCTCAAACCAAGCCCGAGAAGCCTTTGTGCCTATCCTAACAGTCCTACATGAGGCATTGTTCCTTATAAGAACAACTCCACCATCAATAGCTTCATATGTGGTGAACCAATCCTGATTAGGACACATATGATAGGAACAATCTGAATCCAAAATCAAATCATTCATGCTCCTATTTTTATGATCTGTAATCAATAAAATCACATCTTCAGCAATACCAACTTCAGCGGAGTCCTCTTTTGATTTTTTTTTATATTTTTTTTTGTTTATTTTTGTTGTTTAATCTATTACAATCTGTCTTGATGTGTCTTTTCTTCTTGCAATATCTGCAGGCTAAATTTCTATACCTCGACTTATACCTGTTACCCCAAAGCCCCTTTCTTTCAATTTTCCTCGAAGAAACAAACCATCAGCCTTATCACTACTTTCACTTGTGGTCAACTCTTTGTCGATCTTCTCTTTATTCAACAAGTTCTCTTTGAGATTCTTGATGCCAATAAATCTCGACCATAGACCATAGTATCCCTGAAGTGCTTGTAGGATGACGACAAAGAATACAATAATAATAGGGTTTGATTTCATCATTGATCTTAACTCAATCTTACTCAAATCTGTAATCACAGAATTATATTCACCAATATGAGATTTGATGAGTGTACCTTCTGACATGCGAAGTGTGTATAAATGCTACTTCAAGAGGAGGCGATTAGTGAGCGACTTCATCAAATACAAACCCTCCAATTTGGACCACAAATTAGCAGCTGTCTTCTTTGTGAGAACTTCTTGCAAAACTTTATTTGTCAAACATAACTAGATCGCTGTGAAAGCTCTCTATCATCCAACTCGTTCCTATCTTTCTCTGCCATAATAGTCGGTTTCTTCAACTTCCTAAGCAAAGCCTTCTTCAATCCGCTTTGTGTTAACACGACGATCATCCTAACTTGTCAAAGGCTAAAACTAATGTTTCCATCAATTTTGTTCATATCCAGTGTTGTAAATAGCGGCCAATAGCGGGGCTATAGCAGCGCGAATAGCGGTCGCGGCCCTTCAGCGCTACGCGTAGGAGTTTCGCGGCTGGCTTAAGCGGAAAAATCCGCTATTCATTCGAATAGCGCGTAAAAGCGGATTTTTGCGGGTTAAAAGCGGGTTTTCACAGTTAAAAGCGGATTTTCGCGGTTTAAAGCGGATTTTCGCGGTTAAAAACGGCTAAACCCGTTATCACACATATTATGATGCTATATTTCTTGAATTTCTTCATTGTTTCATTCATACAACAAGCCTACTAATTGTTATTTACTGATAATACAAGAAATTTACAACTAATTGAATTTTTAGATTTTTTATGAATTTTCTTATTATTTAGGATATTTAAATATATTTAAATTTAACCGCTATTTGACTGTGCGCTATTTGCTGCGATTTCACCGCAATAGCCCGATATAGCCTTAGCGGTACTTCGCCGCGACGCGCCGCGATCCGCTATCAACAACCTTATTCATATCCCACTTCGTAATGGTTGTTGCCATGTTCTCGTCCAATCGATAACTGAGGGCTCTGGTGCCAATTTGTTATGACAAAACCCCAAGATAAACTAAAATCAATCACACGAGAGTACGGAAAATATCAAGAACACACGAACACAAAGATATACGTGGTTCGGCTTGTAGCCTACGTCCACAGGCGAAGGAAGGGAATAGCTTTACCAATAGTGAGGAATACAAAGTGGAGATCACTCAATCCAAAATTGCACCCCGGAAGCCTAACACAAACTCTCTTAAACAATAGGGACAAAAGAGAGCTAATTTATAACTAATAGGTTTAACGAAGAGAACCTCTTGTTCTCTGTGCTGTAGTGAATTTTAACTGCAGTTGATGATCTCCGAGACATGCTTTCTGCATATTATATATGATGCTGCTGCCACCTCAATATCTCTTGGATCACAACTTCTAGAATTACAGTCAAATACTTACTCTAGAGTCCTTAACAAGCTTGACCTTATCTCTGTTAGTTCTCATCCAATGAGAATACAAGTAATAACAATCCATGTGCATGGATTGCTACTCTTGATGTGGGTGCCAAGATGCTTTAGGACAGACCAATTATTTTAGAATTCTAATCACCAACTTAATGTTAACTAATCCTTTTCAAGACATTAGTTGCACTAAGTCTCGGCCATATGAACCAAGCCAATCAAAGAACTGGATTTGAGATCAATATTTGAGTCACAATATAACCGTTGTCTTATAAAGGTAACACGTGAAATAGTGCGCACTTAAAGATAATCATTTTGCATCTATTAGACTATTACTCGTTGGTATGCACCATAAAGAAACTTATGGAAGGATCATATGTGTCTCAATGGGAATATCCTGCTTGATCACATGCTGATGTGCATGTGCGCTCATGCGGTTGTAGTGGAGGCTGAGAGATTCTTCCGTTCAACTATTATTTTTTATTTGTTAACTATCTCACAATTTAGGATTTTTTTTGACACAATTTAGACGTTTTAATTGGCTTTTTTTTAAGATTTTTGAAGGCAAGAGGGTATAATGTTGATAAAGCAACTCATATGTGGTCAGACATGCTCCAGTGGAGAAGTGACTTTGGTACAGATTCTATTGTGCAGGTTAGTAAATATATCATATTTTCATTATCTGTTTTTTATCGTATTACTATCAGTTCAAGAATGCTAAGTAAGTCGTTGAAAATCTTATTTCTTTATGATAACTTTTCTATATTTGGTTTGGTATATTTACGTGCCAATGTAGTCTCCATTCCATGCTAGTTGCTACACTACATCTCACTCTTTCAGCTTTATTTAGTTGCTTTATATTCGATAGTACTTAACAAGACGTGAATGTAATGCATGACTAACTTTCTTACAGGCCCAATGCCCCAACTATATATATATGTTTTTTCAATGTCTTATAGTTTGCTACTATCATCTTTACAGGTGTAATTTCTATCTGTTGAGAGAAAACTGAGGGAGATATTTTTTTTAATGAGCCATACCAATCTATTTATAGATGATAAGTTGAGAGGAAGAGAAGAAACACATAAGTTGCTGCATTGGAACAAAATAACCTAGATTAGTCTAATACTTATTCTAACATCCCTCCTCAAAGCTGAGGCATAAATATCAATCATGTTCATCTTGTTACACAGAGTGGTAAAATGCCCAAAATTCAGTGGTTTAGTGGAAAGATCAGCAATCAGGCTTAATATATATCATTGGTCACTTGACCTCTATAAAAGTTGTTTAGTTAGTAGCTTTGTCCTCATAAAAGGAATTTGAAATATTATAGTAAAGAATGTAAGTTTTGTTGGAGAGAACTAAGTTAGTAAAACCATTCCAAATTTCATTAGAGCATCATACTCACTCATGCACATGCCTGCCTGCCCTCCAAGTGACTCCAACTAATGCATGTGCACATGTACATGATGATGCGTGTTTGCTTGTATCTGTACATATATATAGGTATATGTATGTACGTATTATATACAGGTATGTATACACACATAAGCACACAGTCACACACAGCATAAGTGACAAGGCCCATCAATATATCTATTACCATCAGTACAGTAAGTATATTATCAACCTGACATCACAAGTACCCATACCTATAACATCTGACAAGCTTCAGGTGAGTTACTTCAAGAGTTTGCAAAATTCAATGAACTGCAGGAACTACCAAACTAAGAAAGTGCATTGGACAAAAGAGTTCTACACTGATAGCAAATAAGTTCTGAAAGTACACCATGCATATGATAAATGCGCTATGCCAAGGTGAGATGATATCACAACAATGATCATATTTAAAATAAATCAATGTTCACGTTGAGCTCACGAATAACACAATTTCTAAATGAGCAAAGCTTACAACAGTTACCCCTTGCAAGTGGCATAGCGGTTGGGCTTGGGGCCTTGGCTCAAAAGGCCAAGGGTCGATCCATGTCCGTGGCATGTCTATTGTCAATTTCTAATTAATGGGCATTGCAACCGTGTGCTATTCACCTAGACCTAGACTGTGAAATGGTGGCCCCAGTCCCTCGGGTTTACTTGGCGCCGAGGTTCCTCACACACAACACTTTCCAAAAGTAGCAAGAAGAAGCTCAGAACTCTTCCACATCCTGAGAGGGTTGCGAGGTGGACTCTTATAGCTTGAGAATCCTTTTCATACATAAGATGGCATATTTCTGCACATTGACAAACATGAACAGTGGATGTGTCACTCTACATCAAATATAACTCAAAAGCATACCATGTGAAGTAGAATGCAATTGTTATTACTTCTATTGTCTAGCAAAGTAAACATAAAAAATGATGGTTGAATTGACTTGTCTGAAGTTTATTCATTTTTTGCTGTAATGGTCTAAGAACTTGTTTCCATGTAGGATTTCATGTTTGACGAACTGCAAGAGGTGGTTAATTACTATCCTCATGGTTATCACGGAGTGGACAAGGAGGGAAGACCAGTGTATATTGAAAGACTAGGAAAAGTTGACCCAAACAAGCTTATGAATGTTACCACAGTTGAGAGATTTTTGAAGTACCATGTGCAGGCATTAGAAAAGGTATTTCTTGAGAAATATCCAGCATGCTCAATTGCAGCTAAAAGGCACATTGATACTATGACAACAATATTAGATGTGCAGGGAGTGGTATGATACTCAACAAGCTCTTGTACCAACAGTTTTTTATCAGTAATTTTACATTTTCACTTAATTGGCTATGCAGAACTGGATGAACGTTGGCAAATTAGCTCATGATGTTGTCATCCACATCAGTAAAATTGATAGCAATAACTATCCGGAGGTGATTATTTATTATGTAAACAACAAAGTATTGTTAAATTTTCCTTTTTTTTAATCTAAATGTAGCAACTTCCCATAAGCTAGTTTTCTACTTCTATTTTGATGCTAGCTTATTCATGCAGATATTAAATCAGATGTATATTGTTAATGCTGGCAATGGTTTCAGATTATTGTGGAGTGCCCTAAAAAATTTCATTGATCCTAGGACATCTGCTAAGATACAGGTGAACATACATTCATATTCTTAAACATCTACGAGTTTATGAATAACTTGTTTTTTTCCACCTTTTTGATGAATTGAGCAGGTTCTAGGAGATAGGTATAAAAGTACGCTGCTAGAGATCATAGATATAAGGTCCATTCTTGTATGTTCAAGTTTTCCATATTTATTAGTCGTTTTATGTGATCTTCTGATCCTAAATGCAATTTACCTTTCCATTTTTTCCTATTGACAGTCAACTGCCTGATTTTCTTGGTGGTTCTTGCACTTGTCAAAATGAAGGTGGCTGCCTGAGATCCAATAAAGGACCATGGAGGGATCCAGAAATAATTAAGGTGCGATCCAGTTAGGTGCTGTTTGCATCTCCTGGAAGGTTTTTCTACATCTGACAAGTCTTTTTAATCCTTGAATGTTTCCCCAGATAATGTCTCTTATCAGCATCTTTGCTTTGCATTTCTGTTGATTGTTTGAGTTAGATGTTGTAATTGTTTTCAATCTATTCACTTTTCTTTTTCAGAAAATGTAAAGGGAAAATTAGGACATATATCACGCTCTCATTCCATCACTCCCCAGTAATCATTGAATTTTTATTTGTTTTCCTTGTCTTGTATTTTCTGTAAAATAACAGTATATTCTATCTTTTTCCCTTATACCACTTTACATTCCGGTTACATGTTTTTGTTCGCTTCCATGCAAACCGAACACTGCACATGTAACCCTGATGATGGAGCCTCCCTGAGTGCCGTTGTCAGACCAATTCCACCTTTTCCTTCACATTTTCACATCAAATTAGTGGACTGGAACTTTTCCTTATTAGAGAAAACCTGTTAGTGGATAACATCATGAAGTTTAGGAACTACTTTTCGCAGTTGAACTTACATGATTGTCCCTTTCTTCTTCTCTAGTTGGTCAACGGTGAGAAAATGACAAGCTCGACGAAGATAACTAATAGATCTGATCAAGAGGAACTCAATTTGCACCTTGTGCCTCCCATATCACAGGTTGTAGATGTGTTAAAAAAGTTAAATAGTTATCCAGCTGCATATTTGGTTTTAAAATTATATGCCATGTTGCAGGAGCTGAAGTATAATGAGTTGTGTACACAGCAAGAATCAAATGTTAAAAATGTGGACTCATTTTATGAAGTAAGTCCTTTGCCCACGTATTTGCATTTAGTTCTTTAATACTTGTGTTTCTTCCCCTTATTTTTGATTGATGTCTAAATTTCAGCTTTCATTTGTGCATGTTTAGTTGTTTATTGCCATAACTTAATCTTTCTGCAGCTTACTGACATTGGTTCTGTTTTCTGGTCCTAGTCTTGAATCCAATATTATCTGGGACCTTAGTTTTGTAATTATGAATTGTCATAATTATAATCGACCTAGGTGGGACCTGTCCCCAGTTCAACTACAGTGGCTTAAATAGCATGGTCCAGTTGGTCGAAATTGCCTTTTTTTGTTTTTTTAAATACTACAAGGGCTTTAACCTAGGTTTTGCCTTATGGATGAGTTCTCATCTGCGTGAACATGAAATCCAGTAAAAGATTCAAAAAGCAATGCATTATTTAAATTTAGATCCCTTATAAAAGAGCATTTATCTAACGTTTGCAAAGTTACATGAATATTCAGAACATGAGAAATTTTCAAGTTTATTTTTGTTTGCATTTTCTTATTTTCTTTCTCTTGTATAATAAAATCTTCTCAGGCGAGGATGGATGAAAGTGTTTCCCAGGGCAGTTTGACCACTCAGTCTGATGTCAACAATGGTTATGAAGGTAAACTCTCCTATTATCCTAATATGTGATCACATAAAGAAAAGTTTTTTCCCCAAAAATTTTCTAATTTTGTACATGAGATTTATGGCCACCAGCCGCTAGAAGAGGAAAATTACTCCTATGGTGGCAAAAACTCACCCATACCACCTATTTTCTTCCGTCAGCTCCAACCTACGAGCTTCATACCCTACGATGTACATTTATCAAATACTAGTTAATTTGCACATACATAATGCACATGTGTAATGCACGTGATATAAGAAATAAATTGTGTAGTTTCTAAGAAATTAATGCAAAATATTTTTATAAAAAATAGTTTATATTACATGATATATAAATATTATTTCCATAATTTATTGTATATTATTAATATATTTAAAGATTAACATGTATGGTTTTACTTATTTATGTGGTGAGCAGAATTGTTTGCTACTTGGACTTTGTATCTTTATTTTCTCTTTTCTATACCTTTGTATACACGGTTAATCATTATTCTGAATATCAAAGGACTTTCTCATGTCAATATCCTATACCTCTTTAACAAATCTCTTGGTCATTGCAACTATAATTTAAGGTTTTTATCCTAATATAAGTATTTAATATTTTAATATGCCATTTTTTATTTTAAATCCTCTAGTGTTCAAATTTTTATTTGTAGGTGTGGTTGAAAATTTTGATTGTTTATGGGTTTCTTATAGAAGGGTCGAGAGGGAGGGGGGAGAGAGGGAGGGGGGCGACATGGAGGATATGGATAAATGTCATCCATTCAATTTTTTTCAAAATCACTACTTTGCCCTATACAAATCACAAATTTTCCTAAGAACTCAACTATGAATTGAGGAATTTTCCTCCATTCCTTCATTTTTATCTACCCTTACTGACATTTTAATAGAGTCGTATGGATGATGTGAATATCCTGAAGTTTGCTCTTGCATCTAGTAAAGAGTAACAGGTTTTCAACATAATAACAATCCCCAGATTTAAGACAAACCTGGCAAACTTGATTATACTCACATTATCATTGGTAGCATAAATCACAGGGCATGAAGTTGAGGCTTTTTCCCCTAATAGGAGAATGGTTTCATATGTTGTACGTTACTCGCTTTTACCCCATAATGCACAAGAGTATTACGGTGCTGTTGCTCCCATCGTATTGTAATATTTTTATTTTAACAACTTTTTCACTTGAAAATATATGCTATTAACAAGATTATTTCAGAACCGACAAGATAACATGGTTGCACTTTTCAGAACCAAGATTATTAGACAAGAGCAGATATATAACATCACTTCCTGTAGATAGGAGATGATTTTATGTTTCCGCATAAGAGGGAATGTTCTTGATTAGACCATCTCCAATAGTGTATAATTGGGTGAATTATTTGCTCCAGCAAAGAATAATTGTAAAGGTGAAGTGATGTGGCTTTTGGAGGGAATTATTCAATAAATCTAGAATTATTGTAGTGAAAAGCAATCAAATCGCGCCATGTGTCATTGTAAAAGCAATTGTTTGCTGCTGGAGTGCTCATTTATCCGCGGGAGAAAACACAAAGGAGGTGAGGTGCAATCGTGACATGTGGTAGCTTCGTGTTGGTTGATGCATTTTTCTTTTCCACCCTCTTTTTAAATGGTATTTTTTACCAATAAATTGATCAAATTAAAAAAAAAATTCACCATTAATTTTCTTTTTTCGAGATCTATAAATAGAGACCAACTTTGCTTCATTTGGACACCAAAATTTTTTGAGTATTTTCTCCAAAATTTCTTTCTTCCTCCAACTTCTTTGCTCTCTTTCAAAATGGACCCTAATCAAAATTTTAATCGTCCCCCAACTTATATGTTTCCTAACCAACCTCAAAATTCCAATAATCAACGTCCTGAAAATCTTTAAAACATGTCATCCAATTTTTAGATGCCGTATATGATGCCATCTAATTTTGGTATGCAATATCCTTATAATTTCCCTTATATGGAATATGGGCAACAAACTGAGTTTGGTGGAAGTAATTATGGTGGTTTCTCCAATATCAATAATCAAAACACCGAGCAAGTTACTCCTCATTTTAGCAGTGGATCAACAGATGTACCCGAGTTTTCCACTCAAATATCTCTTGGAAGTGCTGGTGATGACACACCATATAGTTTTTTGCCCGAAACACAAAAAAATACTTCTAAATCTAGTTATTCGGTTTGGAGTGTCGAGCAAAACAAACTACTTTTAAGAAAAATACTTCTAAATCTAGTTATTCGGTTTGGAGTGTCGAGCAAAACAAACTACTTTTAACTAGTTATTTTCACTTCAGTAATGATAGTGAACTTTTAACTAGTTATTTTCACTTCAGTAATGATAGTGAATTGGGTAGTGGCCAAAAGGGTGATACTTTTTAGGGTAAAATTGCTGCTTACTTGAATGAGCATTCAACAACTGACCCTCATAGGAGTCAACAACAATGTAAAAGTCATTACAGTGATCTCAACAAAAAAATTGGTAAGTGGGTTGGTGTATACAGAAAAGCATTAGCAGAGAGGCGTAGCGGTTGGACAGACGACAACTACATAGCAAGAGCTCAAGATTTGTTTGTTGAAGAAACTAAAAAAACTTTGCTTTGCTTGAAGAATGGAAGTTGGTTCGTAATGAACCAAAATATATGGTTGGATCTAGTGCATCTCAAAGTAGTGGAAGTAAAAGGAAGAGTAGCGGGGAAGGTGATATCTCATGCTCATCAGTTCCTTCTTTTGTACGCCCAGAAGGTAGAGACACGACAAAGAAAAAAGCTAAGGGCTCCTCTAGAAGATCGAAACTTGTTATGGGATCAACTATCTATTGTGATTTTTAGACAGCCTACATACGTAAAAGTCCAAACATATGATCTCTGCACACTACAAACAAACCTTATCTCTTGAACATATCAAAAGCAATGTTGCTTCACATGTGATCTCTGCACACTACAATCCAAACCTTATCTCTTGAACATCTCAAAATAAATGTTGCTTCACATGTGATCTCTGCACACTACAATCCAAACCTTATCTCTTGAACATCTCAAAATAAATGTTGCTTCACATGTGATCTCTGCACACTACAGTCCAAACCTTATCTCTTGAACATATCAAAAGCAATGTTGCTTCACATGTGATCTCTGCACACTACAGTCCAAACCTTATCTCTTGAACATCTCAAAATCAATGTTGCTTCACATGTGATCTCTGCACACTACAATCCAAACCTTATCTCTTGAACATCTCAAAATAAATGTTGCTTCACATGTGATCTCTGCACACTACAGTCCAAACCTTATCTCTTGAACATATCAAAAGCAATGTTACTTCACATGTGATCTCTGCACACTACAGTCCAAACCTTTATCTCTTGAACATCTCAAAATCAATGTTGCTTCACATGTGATCTTTGCACACTACAAACAAACCTTCTCTCTTCACATGTGATATCTAAAAATCTAAGATTGGGTAATATAAATACCACTTGGATATTGAACTTATTACACATCACTTCATTACCAATTTTATCTACACAATTATTACTTAGATGAATCCACCCCCATATGAGTTTAACTTAGAGGAACTCCAAAAACAATGGGATTTGGAGGAATCTTTACTCAAACGCCAACAACAATTACTTGAAGAGTTACAAGCTGCAAGTAATCGATCCCATAAGAGGACATACATAGAGAGAAACCATGAAGCTGCCCATTAAAGGCTGATGAAAGACTACTTTGTCGAATCTCCCACATACACCGACCACCAATTTCGTCGGAGATACCGAATGCAACGATCACTATTTCTACGAATTGTAGATTCTCTCGCAAATTATGACACGTATTTCACTCAGAGGAGAAATAGTGCTGGAAAGCGTGGTTTATCGCCAATTCAAAAGTGTACTATTGCTATACGCATGTTAGCATATGGTGTTGCAGCTGATGCTTGTGACGAATACGTAAAGATTGGAGAAACCACTGCAGTAGAGTGTGTCAGCAAGTTTTGTGAAGGTATTGTGGCCATATTTGAGAATGACTATTTGATAAGGCCGAATGAGGAAGACCTCCAACGACTACTAAAAGTAGGCGAAGAACGCTGTTTTCCGGAAATGATTGGAAGTATTGATTGCATGCATTGGCAATGAAAAAATTATTCTAAGGCTTGGCAAGGTCAATTTACCAGTGGACGTATAGGCACAACAACAGTAATACTCGAAGCGGTTGCTTCTTATGACTTGTGGATATGGCATGCCTTTTTTGGATTGCCAGGTACATTGAATGATATAAATGTGCTTGAAAAGTCACCTGTCTTTGATGACATTGAGGCAGGTGAAGCTCCGCATGTGAACTTCACTGTGAATGATCATCAATACAATTTGGCATACTATCTTGCTAACGGAATCTATCCCAAATGGCCTGTCTTTGTCCAATCACTTCAATATCCCCAAGGCGAAAAAGCGAAATTGTTTGTAAAACAACAAGAATCTTGTAGGAAGGATGTGGAACGTGCATTTGGGGTTCTCCAAGCACGTTTTGCTATAATTCGTCAACCAGCTAGAATGTGGGATTTGAATGTCTTATCAAAAATTATGAGAGCGTGTATTATTTTACACAATATGATAGTGGAGGATGAACGAGATACTTATAGTCGAAACTGGGAGAACGTTGACTTTGAACCATCAAACATTGCTAGCTCGAGCTCATCATTTGATTACCAAACACAAACGTTACCTCAGTTTAAAGTGGATGTTCAAGGTAGGTCCGAATCAGATATTCATACTAGATCTGAACTTCGAGATAGGGCCAAACATCTTCAATTGAAGGAGGATCTTGTCGAGCACATTTGGCAAAAGTTTGGAGCAACCGCAATTTAATTTTCAACTTTCGATTTTAATTTTGTCAAATTTTAGTTTGTTTTGTGTGTTTTTAATAAATTGTACTGTTGATTTATCTACATCAATAAAATCTTGTCTTGTTTTTAATATTGTAATAATATTTGATAAATATCAAAATTAAATAATTATAAATAAAAAAATTATATTATTATTATTATTATAATAATATTAATTATAATACATATATCACATATGAAAAAAATATAATATAATAAAATATATGATGGGGAGTGATGAGGAGAGATAGAAAAGTAAATTATTTTCTAAATTATCCTCTATTGTGGAGTGTATGTGATAGTGGAGACATTTGATGATGTGACAGGTTATGTGGAAGGGGATAATGTGAATTTGAATTGTCCCCTATTGGAGATGGTCTTAGCATGAAAAGAGTAGGCCCTTTACAAGGGATTAGAGAGAATGCATAGAGAAGATAAAAGATGTAAAGTTGCTATGGTGGATATCAAGGAAGTTGGAAAGTTTTAGATTTATTTCCTATGGGGAAAGCATAGAGAATGGAGAAGGCATAGGAAGGGGAAAAAATAATATATAATAACAGGGAAGATGAAAAGTTACATCAATAACTAGCTATCATGTGTCATATTGATGCAACCAGTTACAATTGTTTTTGTATGTTGTAGTAATAACTGTACACAAGAGTTATACTGTTCCTGCACTACTACACACAAAAAGTGGGACCTTTTCTTGTAAATTTCAAACAAAATGATAGATGCACTATTCATTAGACTCTTTTTCTACAAAAAGATGGGGTTACCATTATCTGAGGCCTAGATGACCTTAAAGTTTAATATTTATAAATCTTAGGAATTCCTCTTATGTGTCAGGCTATTTTCGTGTCCTGGTTTTAGTTATAACAAAGCTATTCTGCAGGAAGGTGGACGCAATTTGTAAACCTCAAGAGTATCCACTATATGGACCATTTTGTTAATATTAAATATGCAGTGTTTTTTTTCCACAATCTCTTCCTAAATGCTAAAGCTTGAATTTGAAACTTAGGGGTTGTTTGGTTCGTTTCTTTGATATAGAGAAATGCAATTCCATGTAAAGAAACACAAGTTTTGAGTTTTCCAAATTTTTTCAAGAAATAGATTGTTTTGCTTTGGTTCGCACATAAAAAATGGTGGGAAACCAATGTATTTATTTTTCTTGTCTTTGGTTCGCATAGAAAAAAAAGAAAAACTTTTGTAAACAAAGCAGAGAAGGAAAAAATCTGACGTGGCAGAGTTTTCATCAATTTCACTTGGTTGGGGAAGGAAATCGGAGAGGAAAAAAAATCTTAGTTGGCGACAATTTCAGCAGAGTTTTCCCTCTTCCATCCGAGCGAACCAAAGCGGCACAAAGAAATGGACGGAAACAAAAAAACTGACGTGGAGGGCTAAAAATCTGACGTGGAGGGGTTTTCTAAGTTTTCCACCCTTTATAATAGCGAACCAAACAGCCCCTTAACACATTCTTGAGCAGAGACATGGAAATCTGATACTTCAATTATACATATAGAAAGATGCAGTAAAATTCTCCAAATGACACTAGTACTTAGTTTATCATGACCCGTGTTATCTTTTCAATTCTTCAGCTTGATTTAATGGAAGCACCACGCACATTCTTCCACATTGTCCTCAGTGTTACCATGCCCCATGACATCCTTTCAAATTCTTCAGCTTTAATTGCTATTCCTCAGCTGAGATTAACTGGAACTAGTGGTGGATAAGCATATTCTCCTCAGTAGAATAATAGTCTAAATAAGTTTATTGATTGCTTTTTAGTACTCAATTTCTTGATAAGCAAGCTAGATCTTAACTTTGTTTTTGGAGTACAAAGAAACAAATTAGGCAACAAACTTAGTTATGTATTGTACTGAGAGACAAGGCATGCACCAGAAGGTGTTAGATGTCTTTGATCAATAGCAAGTTCGTGTTATTCAATAGTAAGTATGTGTTATTCAATGATTAACTAAGAGAGATAAAGAGTTTGCTATCTTACAATGGATGTTAAAATGAAAAATTGGTAGTCCTGATTGACTGCAAAAGGCTAATATAGAACTACATGTCCTCACAGTCAAAATCATATGGATTGTTTATATTGCAGTTTCTGAGTATTTTAATTTTCACTTTCGTTATAAATAATCCATTTCCTGTTGCCTTACTTGAACATGTTTTTCTCTACATGATCCAGGAAGGTGATGAATTGTTAGTCACTGAATCCTAGATTCAGAACAATGCAAATGGACACTGCAACACAAGTGCTAAGAATACTGCTAGTAAATATAATAATCCTACTAACAACAATATAGTGATAGATCATAGGATTATAGTAAAAGAGCACACCAATATTCATATGTAGATAGATCCTGCGTAATTAAAATGCACACATTCTAAGAATACAATATATGATGTTTACTGATAATGTTAAAACTTAATCAAATCACATATTTTTACTCTTTACTAAGGAATAGGCACTCTTCAGGTTCTTATATTGAAACATTAACAGTATAGTTGTATACAACTCATTATGTTGATGCCCCACTGCCCCCACTAACTTATCATTAATGAAACTGTCAGTTTTAAGAGATTGGTTTGACAAAGATTGTTCTGCTGGTTTGTTTTGGATATTGACTCGGTGAAGATTATTCTCTCGGCTTGTTTGATTGGTGGATTCCAGGAAGCCCTCTCTTAACGAAAACTAAACATATAATTAACATCTGATGAATTAAACTTTGCATGACAAGAGCAGAAATTTTTGTTCTTTCAGTGTTTGGAATCTGAAATATACTATATTGAGCAGAATTTTAGAAGTCTCTGATACTTAACCTTGGAGCGTGCATGTTAGCAACAGAGACACCTCTTCACACTCATGTGAAGTCTAAACTGCTAGGCAATAGTTATCGAGAAAAGTTTCAAGCCCTGCTTATATGGAACCATAAAAGAATATTGAAAGGGCAGCCTAAGTAATTGAAAGCAAATAATCAAGTGGGCTGTAAATTGCTTGTGAGTATAAACCCATTGCCTAAATTTTTTGCAGATGCCATGCCCCTGCAGGTAAGTTTTAGAACACACGTGATTGAATCCATTGATTTTAACCTATGATGACAGAAATGACGAAAGAGTCATAAGTTACTTTTACTCATTAACCAAACATCCGGCAAGAGAAAGAATCTCCATATTTCAGTTCATGACAGTATATCGTTTATTAGTTCCATTCTAATTAAGATTGAAAACCTAGTAAATTAATTTCCTTTAATTAAATGTGATGCCATTGATTACAATGTCCGAGGACTTTGACTTCAGCCTCTCCCTGTCTGACTCTACTTTTTGTAATTTCGGGACCTATGCAGTTGATCCAAATGCATAACCATACGAATGCGGTTACAGTAGTAAAGATTTACTAGAGGATATTGGACTTTTTTGCAGGTTCTTCAAGTGATCACTTTATCTCTCCTAGTTCTGGGTCTATCTTCATTCAGTTGGCGAGAGCTGTAGCCAGTTTCCTTGTTAAATTACTTGCAGTTTTTCATCTATTCCGTGGTCTGGGCAATTTCAGTGCTCCTAATGCAGAATCGTACTCTTTGAGTGTCAACACTCCTCAACTTGATATCAGAGAAGATTCTGTTACTCCATGCTTGGAACGGTTGCAGAGGCTTGAAGAAATGGTACATGAGATAACCAAGAAACCTACAAAAATTCCTCAGGAGAAAGACAACATGATTACTGAGTCGCTTACTCGAATCAAGTCAATAGAATATGATCTACAGAAGACAAAGAATGTGAGTGCTCTGCATTTTCCTTGTACCAAACAGTTCAATCTTGATTAAATTGTAGATTATGTGCTTACAGTTTTGTGAATGATTTTTTAGGCATTGAGTGCCTCCTCTTTGAGGCAAGAGGAATTAGCGGAGTCGCTTGAGTTTTTAAAGCAAACCAGTGTACAGGTAAAGCTTTTATCATTTAACTGTTGATGTGACTTTATTTTCCTGAATTCAGCTGGAATATTACTAACAGTTAGTTCTTAGTTGTGGATAGGACCCCTATACTGTCGCCCAATTGGACATCAACCCCCTGTAGTTCTGTTGTTACAAATAGGCCCCTTGAGTGAAGTTCTTGGACTTTCCCCACTTTGAGAAAGAGAAATTTGTCTTTTGACAAATAGATCTGAATAAAAGAGTGAAAATTTTGCTCAGGATCTATCAGCAACAATAGAACTTCAGGGGATCTATCCACAATTGGGGGTGAAAGTAGGGAGAGGTTTATCCGCAGTTAACCCTGTTACTAAATGCTGGTTGGTTCCTTCCTCTCGTCGCCCATAAAGTGCAATATGCATCTAAATTCTCATCCCTTATCATCTGCAGAGAAAATCATGTTGGTTTAATGATCGCAACTCTCTTCAACCAGAAAGATCATATTTGTTTTCAGGAGAAAGAGAATATACTGCCCAATTGTGAAATACTTTTTTTTTTGTGGGGTGATTTAAGGGGCATCACATCCTAGATATGATGGGTGATTCTTACAGGTTTGTGTTACACACTTGAAGCAATAAAGTGAAGCCTTTTTGGTGTTTAATTGCTGCGGCTTATATCACCTCAAAGAAAGCTGCTGCTGATAGCAAGTATTTGAGTGCCTAATAAGCACGGTATCTTTAATTCATGCTTTATAGTTTCAAAAGTTTGAAATGATTGTTGTATCATCTGTAAATTTAATATTGCAAATATAAGGATTCACGAACATTCTGAGTAGAATGTTTTAGGAAATTCATCCTGTATAGAGCAGCAACTCTCAATAAGTCAAGTATCGAGCGATGGTTTGATATTGCATCTGAGCTCCTGCTATCATGAGAAAAATAACGCAGCTAATGTAATAAGCGGAGGATACAGACATATTTTATATTTATTCTCATGTGAACACCCTGTGGCTTCAGAATTTCCTATATCAACTACTTTTTTTAACTGAAGTAGAACAATGAAAAAACTTTGATGAACGGTAAATCCTAAGTGGCCCAATCAAAAGGAGCCATGTCATCACCAATAGTAAAACCACCAATAATACTGTAGCACTTACGCAAAATTTTTTGGGCCCAACCACATCTTGCTAACATTTTCACCCACGTCAAAAGCAAGCCTGCCATCTTTGAATTTCAAATTCAAATTCAAAAAAATAAAATAAAAATAAAATTAATTTACAAAATAATAGTTGCCCCTCCATTACCAAGAAAGAGCGCAAATGACACTTTCTCTCCCTCTACATTTCTCTTTTATCGCTCAACAACTTTCTATCTCTTTCAAATTCCTAATCCTAACCTCTGATTCTAACTATGATCAGATTGCGACTGATAATAAATTTAAATTACTAAAAGTTATCTAAACATGATAGAAATTCAAATACTTGATCTAAACATGTTTAGAAACTGAAAAATATAATCGATATCAAACGGAAGCAAGATTTAATTAAACTAACCTCCAGCCATTGTTGTCTCACACAATGGATAATGGATGTTGATTTCGAGAAGATCTTCTAAACCTTATCTCTTCACTAATAGATGGTGTATTTTCTCTTTCGAAAATTTAAGAGCAGGTATTAGGGACCAACCGAGATATATACTCTTTTTTCCACTCTCTCTCCATCAAAGAGCAATAACCGAATTAGTGAGCAAAGTGGTTGGTTAAGTTATAACCAACTCTCTTGATGATGGGAAGTTATTGTCCCACTTTGTAACCAAACGAGAAAATAAAACCAACATTCTCCCACTTGGTCCAAACATTCCATCATCCACCTTAATGAAAAACAAAATACATGAATCATGGCGATAGGTTCTCTAATGTTGAGTAGTATCTTCCATGTATCACAATGTATCGTGTCTCTCAATCCCGAACGACTTAATGAATAAGCCTTATGTTTATTCGAGGTCCAAACTTTAATGATATTTCTCAATAAAATAAGCAAATATGTATGTGCACAAAACAAATGAGAAATATCAACTGAATAAGAGTTTCAATAAAATATCAAATGTACGTATAATGAATATTTACATCATGGAACCAAGTCCCATTCTTACTACATGATCCTTGAAATTCTTTGGTGGCATGACTTTAGTCAAAGGATCAGCAATCATCAGCTCAATGCTAAGGTGCTCAATGACCACTTTCTTTTCCTTAACACGTTCTCTAATGGCTAAGTATTTGATGTCGATATGCTTACTACGACTACCACTCTTGTTATTCTTAGCCATAAAAACAGCAGTTGAGTTCTCACAATACAGTCTTATTGGCCTAGAAATTGAATCCACAATTCTAAGCCCCGACACGAAACTCTTCAACCATACACCATGTGACGTAGCCTCAAAACATGATACGAACTCGGCCTCCATAGTGGAAGTAGCAGTCAAAGTCTGCTTTGCACTCCTCCAAGACACGGCTCCACCGGCAAACATGAAAAGTATGCTGATGTTGATTTGCGTGAATCAACACAGCCAGCAAAATCCGTATCAGAGTAACCAACCACTTCCAAATCGTCGGTCCGTCTATACATGAGCATGTAATCCTTTGTCCCTTGAAGGTATCTCATCACCTTCTTTGCAGCTCTCCAGTGGTCAATACCTGGGTTACTCTGATATCTTCCTAGCATTCCAATAGAAAATGCTATATCAGGTCTGGTACAGACCTGAGCATATATTAGGCTTCCAACGGCTGAAGCATATGGAATGTTTTTCATCTGTTACTGCTTGAGCTCATTTTTAGGGCATTGATTTTGGCTGAATCTGTCACCCTTCACAATAGGTGCTACACTCGGTGAACAATCCTTCATCCGAAATCTCTCTAAGTGCTACACTCGGTGAACAATCCTTCATCCGAAATCTCTCTAAAACCTTTTTGATATAGGTCTCTTGAGACAAACCCAAAATCCCTCGAGACCGATATAGGTCTCTTGAGACAAACCCAAAATCCCTCGAGACCTTTCCCTATGGATCTTAATGCCAATGACGTAAGATGCCTCACCCATATCTTTCATATCAAAGTTCTTCGAGAGGAACCGTTTCACCTCATATAGCAAACTTTTATCATTTGCCGCAAGCAAAATATCATCCACATATAGCACAAGAAAGCAAAACTTGCTCCCACTGACCTTCTGGTATATACATTGATCCATGACGTTCTCTTCAAAACAAAATGAAGTGATAACGTCATGGAATTTCAAATACCATTGGCGTGAAGCTTGTTTTAATCCATATATGGACTTATTAAGCTTACAGACCAAGTGCTCACCATTACTAGAGGAGAAACCTTCAGGTTGCTTCATATAAACTTATTCCTCTAGGTCACCATTAAGAAAGGCCGTTTTCACATCCATTTGATACAAATCCAAATCAAAATGGGCAACCAATGCCATAATGACCCGAAGAGAATCTTTCTTAGTTACAGGAGAAAATGTCTCCGTGTAGTCGATTCCCTCTCTTTGAGTGAATCCTTTGGCAACGAGTCTGGCCTTATATCTCTCAATGTTGCCTTGTGAGTCTTTCTTTGTTTTGAAAACCCACTTACATCCAATGGTTTTTATACCATCAGGCAACTTGACGAGATCCCATACTCGGTTTAACGCTATAGAATCCATCTCATCTTTCATGGCATTGTACCATAAGTTTGAAATCTCAGAACTCATGGCTTGTGAAAACGTCTCAGGATCATTTTCGGCTCCAATAATATAGTTAGACTCTTGTAGATACATGACATAATCACTAGGAATCGCCGATTTCCTTACACTAGGAGATCTTCTTAATGCTGCATCAACATTTTCCTGAGGATCAGGATCATGTTGTTCAGCTAGTTGTTCAACAGCTTCAGGTATTTGTTGAACTTCAACATCTACTAAATCAGGATCAACAGCTTGTGGTATTTCGTGAACTGGTTCTTCAACACGCGTTTGTACTATAGGCGCGTTGTTAACAACAACGATTAGTCTGTTGCTTGAAGTGGCACAATGAGCATCTAAATGATTTTTCTCAAGACCAACGCCCTGAGATTGATCGCTCCCACTAATCAAGTAATTCTCAAGAAATTTAGCATTTCTTGATTCCACAAACCTAGTACTATAAGATGGACAATAAAATCTGTATCCCTTAGACCTTTCAGCATATCCAACGAAATACCCACTTATGGTCCTTGGGTCTAACTTCTTTTCTTGTGGATTGTAGACTCTTACTTCGGACGGACATCCCCAAACACGTACATGTCGCAAACTTGGTTTCCAACCTTTGAATAACTCAAAAGGAGTCTTTGGGACAGCCTTGGTCGGAACTTGGTTTAATATGTACACAGCCGTCTTGAGAGCTTCAGTCCACAAGGATTTAGGAAGTTTGGAGCTAGCAAGCATGCTACGCACCATGTCCAATAATGTTCGGTTTCTTCTTTCAGCTACTCTATTTTGGTCCGGAGAGCCAGGAAAAGTATATTGGGCAACAATCCCATTTTCACGAAGAAACCTCGCAAATGGACCATTTGCATGGCCACTCTCAGTGTATCTACCATAGTATTCTCCACCTCTATCGGATCTCACGATCTTAATTTGTTTGCCACATTGTTTCTCTACTTCTACTTTAAACACCTTAAAAGCATCTAGTGCTTTATTCTTACTGTTAAGCAAGTAGAGATACATGTATCGCGAGTAATCATCTATGAAAGAGATGAAGTACTTATCATGGTATGCATCCATGTCTGGACAACAAATGTCAGTGTGTATGATTTCCAATAATTCAGAACTTCTTTTGGCACCTTTCTTGGACTTGTTAGTCTGCTTACCCTTAATGCAGCTTATACAAGTCTCAAAGTCAGTAAAATACAAAGTACCAAGTACCCCATCATTCACTAACCTTTTAATTCTATCAATGGAGATATGTCCCAATCTCCGATGCGACAGTATAGAAGACTCTTCATTCACAACACATCGTTTAGTACCAATAATTTTATGAACGTGCATAGAAGTATGGTTTTTATCATTTTGCAAATTAAGGAGAAAAAGACCATCAGACAAAGTACCACATCCAATAACATCAGATTTATAAGACAAATTAAATCCGAAATCTGAAAAGTTAAAGGAATAACCATCTGATACAAGTCTGGAAACTGAAATTAAATTCCTAGAAAAACTAGGAATATAAAACGTCTTTTCTAAACTTAAAATAAAACCACTACTTAAAACCAGTCTGCACGTGCCAATGGTCTCCACATGTGAGGGCATCTTATTTCCTGAATAGACGCTGTGCTCACTTCCCATCGGCTTCCGCAGATCTCGTAAATCCTGTAATGAATTGGTGACATGGATTGTAGAACCAGAATCAATCCACTATGTGTTATGATTAACATCAATCATAACAAACAAAAGAAAGTTGAGTACCTTTCTTATCAAGCCACTTCATGAACTTGGAGCATTGTTTCTTAACGTGCCCCTTCTTTTTGCAAAAGAAGCACACAATCTCTTTCTTAATGTCCTTTTGAGGAGGTATTTTCCCTTTCCCTTGTCCTTGGCTTGATCCTTCTTCTTGTACTTCCCTGGGGTAGTAAAGTTCACAATTTTCTTTTCCTTTTCCTCCACAAGCAGCCTGCCCTCTTCCTGAACACACATGGTCAACAATTCATTGATCAACCATTTGTCCTTATGTGTGTTGTAGGATATCTTAAATGGGCCATATTGCTGAGGTAAGATGCAAAGGATGTAGTGAACGAGGAAGGCTTCAGACATCTCAACCTCCAATACTTTCAACTGAGCCACAATATCCCTCATGCGCATGATATGATCACGCACACTCCTTACGCTGGTGAGCCTCAAGGATGAAAACTGTACGATTAGGGTGCTCGCCATTGCCTTGTCTGAAGTGGCGAACTGCTCATCGATAGCCTTTAGTAAATCTTGCACATTGTCGACCTGCTCGACTGAACCCCTTATACCAGCAGAAATTTTAGTCTTTATGAACATCACACAGAGACGATTGGATCGTTCCCATTTTTCATAAAGCTGAATTTCATCTGAAGTGCTGATTTCAGTAACTGTAGGGGGTTCAATCTTCCTTATGGCATAGTCTATGTCCATCCATCCCAAATGAAGGAGAACTCTCTCCTTCCACACTTTGTAGTTGTCCCTTTTGAGCTCGGGAACATCACATTTCATATCAGAGTAATTAGCAGATGGAATTGTTGCAGTAAATTAAATAATCATGCTCATGTTACTAAATTTGAAGCTAACAAAATATGACATATTCTACCAATGTAAAATCATGCAAATATATAAATCTAGTGACATAAAACTTGCTTGTGGGCTAAAGTTACAATTTAATTAGATTTATCTTAACTTCATGATAAAACTATCAAATTATGCTTCATTTCCTAATCCCTGTGGGTAAATTAGAAAATATAATTTGACATTTTATCCTAATTAATCATACAGATACAATAAAAATTCCTATGGGATAAAATTTATTATATCACATCCGATTAATCATAATTAATGTTTACTTTCTAAATAAGATCCTTAACAAGTGATATAACAACCTTATTATACAGTTTTAATTAATTAAGGATGCTGTGGCTACTCCCAAATTAATTAAACTATATGGGTTAATTATAAACATCACTTGATAAAACACAATAGATCTAACATGCACAAATATAAACATCAAGCAGAAATTATCAAATATGTAATGTATGCAACATAAAAAAATGAAAGCAAACAAAAACATTATTAGAATTCAAAGAGATCCCAAGAGACCCAAGGCCCATCAAAGACTTATAATATATAGTGTAGCCCTAGGGGTTTGAACACCAAACCTCTAGGCCAAATCCTCAAGCCTTACCACTAGGCTATTGCCCCTAAAGTATTTAGTACAATCAAAATATGTATACATATTGAATAAGCAGTTAGATCCGAATTTTACAATTTTGAACATGTTAACTCCTAATTCTTAAGCAAATCAAACTAAACTTCATTATTGATTTGATTATCATTATACCAAGATCTTAGAACAAATGATTTTCACAATGAACTATTAATTAAGAAAAAATGAAAAATAAATATCATGATGGAAAATCATAAGTTCTACAATCAATGCTCTGATACCAAATGATAATAAATTTAAATTACTAAAAGTTATCTAAACATGATAGAAATTCAAATACTTGATCCAAACATGTTTAGAAACTGAAAAATATAATCTATATCAAACGGAAGCAAGAATTAATTAAACTAGCCTCCAGCCATTGTTGTCTCACACAATGGATAATGGATGTTGATTTCGAGAAGATCTTCTAAACCTTATCTCTTCACTAATAGATTGTGTATTTTCTCTTTCGAAAATTTAAGAGCAGGTATTAGGGACCAACCGAGATATATACTCTTTTTTCCACTCTCTCTCCATCAAAGAGCAATCACTACCACATTTGAGGCCTATGGGGACGGTTGTGAACCGTCACCCTAGGCATGGAAACCGTCACACTAGGCCTATGGGGACGGTTCTACATCCGTCTCGTTTGCAGCCGTGCCCGTAGGTCTAATGGGACGGTTTATGCTCCTAGTGCAACGATTTGTAAACCGTCCCCAATAGTACCATAAGGGAACGGTTGTGCTAAGGGGTCGGTTCTTAGTTTAGAGCAAGTGGAACGGTTGTATATCAAGGGGAACGGTTTTTAGGTTCTAAGCAACGGGAACGGTTTGATAGCAAGGGGAACGGTTTTTAGGTTCTAAGCAATGGGAACAATTTGATAGCAAGGGGAACGGTTTATATGGGGACGATTTTTATACCAAGGGGGACGGTTTCGAGCTTGACCTAAGAGGACAGTTATATTGTCTATGGGAACAATTTTATTTGTGATCTATGAGGATGATTTTTATACCAAAGGGGACAGTTTTCATTTTTTACTGATCAAAACAAATCACCCAGATATCACACATCAGTCAATCACATACAAAGAAACAATAGTCCAAGTTTTACACACAAACTAACCAAACTTTATCCTTAATATAATGAATAATTCATTACAACGAAGAACAATATTATAGCAATAGGATTGAGATAATTCTTCACAAGTTTTACACACAAACTTACCAAATTAAGCACATATCACAAATCCTCCATGATTAAAACAAAGAGCTACTACTTAATCAAATCCTCCATGATTAAAACAAAGAGCTACTACTTAATCAAAAGGTCAAAATGTCTCTATTGAGACGATTATGTTCTAAATCTTCTCTAAATCTTCACAACAAATAAATCCCCAAAGAGCGACAAGCATGGATCTTCAGATGTTTTCCTGCATACATCAAGATAAAAAGATGAGTAAGCACAAGTAGAATGAAATGGATTGTATGTGTCTCTTTAGAGTCATAACTAATTGCATGACGATCATATTTAGGTATATAATGAAATTAAGAGTAAGCACAAGTAGAATAGAAGAGACACGAATGGTAGAAGGATAAAGGTCCGTTATAATTCCTAATTGTTGCTGTAGCTTTTGTGGAGAATCTTTCAGACCTGATTAAAATGTTGCTGTAGCTTTTCATGTGTCAAATTGATGCAGAATTGTTCAAAGCTGGAAGAAAAACTTACAGTAATAAAAATCGACTGTGAAAAATTACAAAAATAGGTTCAACTAGTAGCTAGTCAGACAATATCATCATAGTGGTCAGCAAGAGCAATAACTATCACATCAATTCATAACAACTCTAAAGTATAAGTTTAAGAAAAGAACGGGTTGACTTAGGAGAGAACAAATTTCTAAACGGGAATGGCACAGAGGCCAAGTCTAAGATAAATTAAAACTTCTACTAAGAAATCACTTTTAAAAACTAACTTATCATGTAATGGTTAAGCTTGCATTGTCCAAATCTCACCCAAAATTTTGACAACCTTAGTGACAAACCCAAAAGCATACTGGTAAAGCACATGTTCATCTTGAAACTTTCAAAACCATAAATATCCAACACCCCAATCAAAACCTTTGAATCAGGATCTTGCCCTATTGAATTATTTATCTTATTCACGAGCCTGCAACCAGAAAAAAATAGTCAGGCAACAGAACAATACATAGCGATTATGTCAATACAAGATGCATAATGCACAAAATTCTTCAAGAAGCTAAACCAACAACTTTATTGTGCCTTACCAATCAAATAACCATTTGGGCATATTGAATCATTGTCAATGGCCCACAATCATTGTATATTTAGCAATAGGCATCTTGGTGAATCGTGTTCAACTTATAAAGTCACCTGCACTCCATAGAGAAAATCATCAAGCAATGTCGTTACAGTAGTTAGCATGCATATGAAAACCAAATAAATATGAACATAAGCAAGAAAACAATCATATTGATGATAAATATATGACTTAATATATTTAATAGCAAAATGTTATTGAACAGTTCAGGTATTATAGAACATACTACAACAACAAAGTAAGAAAATAATGTACCACAAAATGTTACAGAAATAAAAGGACAAGTAGAGATAGAACCTGTAAGTAGGCAACTATATCAGCTGCTGTCACTCTTGATGTTTCTTCGTGTTGTCTCAATATCCACTGATACAGTTTCTCCTGCATAAAGTATAAAGAGAAGAACAAGCTGTAGTTTAGAATCCTTTCACTTAGCAGCATTCTTCTCTCATCCGAATGATAAATAGAATCATGGATAGAATGAGAAATAGAAGAACAAAAAGAACAACGAGGGAAAACTTGAGTAGCAAACTTCGCAGATGATATTGTATACAAAGTGCAATCAGGTAAGAAATATACATGATTTTCCAAATTATAGATAACCAATGAACCGACCAATTCACTTCTTTGCTAACAGTGCACTGATATTCAAAGTCCATATGTTTCTTTGATATTCAAAGTCCATATGTTCCTCTCATATGAAATCGAATTAATGTTGACATGTCCTTAAATCCCGTTACAGTTTTAAAATCAAACTTCACAACTTTAATAATTCCCCTTAGAAGTTGGCTAGCCCACAATTCCCTTAAATTGCAAATAGATTCATTCAAAAAGCGATGCATACGATGCTTGACACAAATCATAAAAGAAAGAATGAAAGCGATGCATACGATGCTTGACACAAATCATAAAAGAAAGAATGGATACAAAGATCTACTGCATTGATACTGGATCCTTTGCTGTCCTATATAACCTGCTGAAAAGCTTAGAATAATTATGTACATGTAATTAACATAGAAGAACAAGAAACTTAAGTGATGTAACTAACGCATATTTCAAATCACGTACTGTGTCTAAACGTATGACTTCCGACTCCCCCGATACCCCTTATGCCAAAATTTAAATACTCGCATATTTTATTGCAATGTTTTATAGTATTTACTCCTTTTGGTAAAGACATAAGAACATGAGCTTATCAGTATTTTTGGTGATTTTGGTCATCTCTAAAGGAAGAGCAATCAGGTTGCCAGATGATGACATTAAAATATTCATAACTCACCTACCTCTGCATAACATCCTGCCAAAGGTAATGTGGTGGCCGTGATGGTTGAGTGAGATATATCTATATGCATTTCAAGTGATTTCATTAACAGGTTATGCGCTCAATGAAAGCGTAACTTGAAATAACTCAAAAACTGAGTCCCCCGTCAATGACTAATCAACAATATAAAGCACCAACAGTTAATAACCTTGATAATTTTGGTAGAAGCAAAACCCATGTGAGATAATTTGGCCGAAACCATGTCATAATAAAATAGGACTCGTTCTTCAGCTCATATCAGATACCCCAACAAAATAACTACTTATTCTTTAACAAAGAACTAAATTTGAGATCCACCCAATGCATCTTCCAGTCTCGTCATTCCTCCTGTACAATGAAACTAAAGTTGTTACTCCTGAACTATTGGTATGAACTTAACTTTCTCCTATTAAACATTATATTTCCGTTCCATTTCTCCCTTCCCCAAATTAAACCAGACTTCAAAACAGCCCCATTTTGCTTCATCAAAGAGTGCATCTTCACCGATACTTTCACAATACCTAATCTTTCTCAGCTACAAGCAAACACAACCACGATCAAAGAGACAAAATGCGAACATAAAAGAACACAGCAAACGCACAAAACCAATCCACAATCAAGAAACCCATCCAGACCACAAAACCTCAGTCAATTTTACCGTCATACGGTCAAAAGAGAAAAAAGAGAGAAGAGATCGATCGACGAACCAACGCGTGTCGTTCTCCGGCTTGAAACGAGACCTTCTGCTGATTCATCGCCTGCGTGTAGATCTGCGAAAGCGAGTTCGCGGCGCTACAGAAGGTCAAGTACATCCCTCGCTTGACCTCGTCGAGGCGATTCGCGTCGGATTTCCTCTTCTTCGCCATTAAAACACGAATCGAATAAGATCGAAACCCTAGAAATTTGAGATAAAAAAAGAGGCGACGAATGAGGGGGGGAGAAAAAGAAAGGAAGATCCTCATGTCCTCTCTCTCTCTCTCTCTCTCTCTCTCTCTCTCTCTCTCTCTCTCTCTCTCTCTCAAAGGGAATGGATGTTGGACGGCGGAGGGAGGAGTCGACGAGAGGACAGGCGCGGCGTGCGACGGAGGCGAGTTTCGCACGAGAGGATGAGGTGCGATGCGGACGGCAGACGCGCGGAGCTGAGAAAAACCCTAGAACTCAGCGATGAAGAAGAAGGTGAAAGAGTAGTTGTACATTATCGCGGGCTTAGAGCGGTTCTATGTGCTATTGAGAGAAATAAAATAAATCCTATTTTGTTAAAAAAGTTTGGGAATAAAACCGTTCCCTTAGCTCACTGTAGGTTTTTTTTGCCGGCCTAATTCAAGCCCAACGCTTTATTTTGAAGCGTTATCTTAGATTCTTTTGTGACGGTTGGAACCGTCACACAACCGTTCCCTTAGGAGGCAAAGGGGACAGTTTTAAACCGTCCCCAAAGAACCGTCCCCGTATATCTATTTTGTGGTAGTGAATAACCGAATTAGTGAGCAAAGTGGTTGGTTAAGTTATAACCAACTCTCTTGATGATGGGAAGTTATTGGCCCACTTTGTAACCAAACGAGAAAATAAAACCAACAGCGACTCCAATCTAAACGCCTCCAATCTAAACGCCTAAAGAATTTACTGACCTCTTGCTATTTGGAGGCGCCATTGATGGAATCTGATTGCCATGGAAGAATCAAAATGATAAACTTCATTCGCAGCAACCTTCTCTCTATCGATGGCCTTAAGGTCCTCCTCTGTAATCCTGACATCTCTTTTTCTTTCTTAATTTTGACACATTTTTAGGGATTTATTGTAATCTTTCGATCCTAATTTGGATTTTGCACCATCCATTCATTGATAGCATCATCATTTTTATATGCAAGAAGAATTCAGAGGCAACAAAATAATTGTTTTTGTTTTAGCCAATGAATCATTTTTTATAGCTAAAAGTATCAAATACCATATAAAGATGTATGGTGTTCTTTGTTAAATAACTAAACTTTGTTTAGAAGGAGAAGGAGAAAGATGTAAATATGAAAGTTAACTAAAAAATTCAATTCTTTTGTAGTCTCTCATCTTCTACTCTCTGAAAAAAATCTTAAAAAAAAATTGAAAAATTGAACAAACTACTTTACTAAAAAGTGAGAGGGATAGAGAAAATGTATTGTCAATAGTTGTGAATAGATTCCTAGAACATGTCTAGCACTGATCTTTTGAACTTGCTTTAGGCACATAAATAAAATATTCATGCTCTTCAAGGGAAAGATGAAATATGCCACAAAGATGATGAGAAGTTTAATTCTCAGTTACTTATAAAGGTAAGTATACAGACATGTAATCTCTCTTCCTTTCTATCCTTTCTCCGATTGAAGGATTTTGCATGCAAGAGTTGTATTTTTATTTTTTTATTTGTATCATCTAGATTCTTAATTTCAAATTATTTTGTTTTCATGATTTTTTTCTTTCTTTATCAGGTAGATTGAATTCTAACACACACACACATATTTAGAATGAGTAATTCTTTTATTAGTTAGATTGACTTCTCACAAACACACACATAGTTATCTTCTAGATTCTTAATTTCATTATTTAGTTTTCATGATTTTTTTCTTCTTTTATCAGGTAGATTGAACTCTAACGCACATACAAAGTTAACTTCTCTTTTTAGAATGAGTAATTTCTTAACAAAATTCGAAATTATGATCCAACTTTTTGGGGCAAAGAATGTTTAGAAACCTAATTGCAATTTCCTACAATTAATTAAATATAATAAAATATTTTTTGCTGACTTGGTACTTATTTGATGCAAAGGTATAACTTCTAACTTGCATCATCCAAAACTTATATGGATTCTTTTGCTCAACATCTTATTAACATGTACGACGATCATCTCGCACATGTATGAGTCTAATTTGATTATTTCACTAAATGTGAAGTTAGATTTTTTGTTAGTATTGGTTAATGGGATTTGCATGATATAGGATTTTTCTTTGTCAGGTAATATATATTGAATAATTTAAGATGTTGGATTCTGACTAATTTTGATTTGATTACTTTTCTAAGTTTGATGGTAATATGACAAAGAAATTAATGTTGGTCAATGATTTTTGGTTCCCCTTTATCGTTATGCTTCCTAACTTTTGACAAACTTTTGCATGCTGCTATCAAGGCATCTGTTTGGTGAAAATTTTGTAATAAGAAGGACAATGAAAAAATTGTGTTTGATTTTATTCTCTCTGACTGATTAGAAAAAGAATGTTTACAACTCTCTCAATCTCAATTACAATTTGGATTTCCTGATTACAAAAGAGAAGAGAATTGATCTGAATTCTCCCCTTTGTTTAAGTCTGGGTTTTTCACGGTGGCGATGGAGTGCCTCCCTCGAATGCTCACGTCGAGTTTGCTCTCCATTGACGATCCGAACATCTTGATTCACCGGAATGATATCTTCTCCTCGTGATTTGATGCTGTGGAGAACTTGCAAAGCAAGTTTGAAACTCTGAACGAGTTGATAACTCAGAACGAGTTGATAACCCAGTCTGAACGAGTTAATTTGAACTGAAAAATCGGTTAATAAGCCAAGGGAATATTCCAAGAACTTTGTTGCTGCAAGAAGCTCGAAGATGATATGATGCCGAGAAGATGATCCGAAGAAGCCGATCTCTAGCTCTCCAAGATACT